AGAGGCTTTCATAATTCTAAATACAATGGTAGCTCCTCAATATATAGGGACGATGATTAGATAGTTTCATTGTCTTTGCTCTGTTTTCTGACTGACATTTTTATCATTGTTCATATTGATCTGATGCAACATCTGACATTCATTACTTAAAAGAAGAACCGAAATAGGTATTCTAAATGTTAAACACAACCATGGATTACAGGCTAAACATCTGCAGCAAGGCTTCCACAGATAGAGCAATATTCTTTTCAGTTTGGCTCTCTGCTCAGTTATACCTGACAGCTGGTCTCTGGGCTTGTAGAATTTAATCTTGAGAAGGCCTGAAATATGTGGCTCTTCCCGGGACTCCGTTTGCTGTTTTGTGGTAGTTCAGAGAAGTGCCGGTGATGGGAGAGCCTCAGGCCCTTGGGGGGATAAGTACCCAAACATCTAGTCACTTCATCAAATGTCTCCAAACCTCTTCACCCTGAAAGGATCCTGACAAACGAATGATTCTGGAACTTGCTGTTACCACTTAGAGAAGCATATCTCTTAGTATCTTTCAAGGTTTGGTGTCAGGAATTCGTAAAGGCAGTGGGAAACAAAATTAAATGACAGGAAGGAAGGAAACAGAAGCTAACTTTTTGGAAAGTGTGCTTATTTCATTTATTTGTTATTCCTGGCCTGGTATCTGCAGGCACATGTAGCCTTAATATGAGAATGACCGGTTTGCTCCAAGCGACCCACAGACCCCAGGCTGTTCTGAAAATGCCCTATTTTGTGCCACATTCCCCATTTGAAACAACTCAACAGATATTGCACTTCATTTTTTAAGTTCATGCAAAACAAATATATAAGGTGTGCCCCCAAAATGCATACACACTTTAATAGCTGATAACTCACTTAATTTTCACTCCTTTTTGGGTTTAACTGATTTGAAATGGTGGGTAAAGCCAGACTAAGCTTTGAACAAAGAAAATTTGTAATAAAGTGCCAAAGACTTTTTTATGGGGATACATAAAAGATAAAGTTTAGGGTTCAAAACTGGCAGCAGTCAACACATTGAGGGCACACAAATACCGAACGAAATGACTCTTGATGGTTGCGATTCCGTTGCTTCACGTTACCAGTCAATAGTGCCTGGACCAGAACGGTCATCAGTTTGAAAACAGGCATTGACCAAAAAAAAAAAATACTGTACATTCTTTTAAATTTTGAAGGTGAACTGTATATAAACACTGACTTTATAATAATTGAAAGTGTGTATACACTTTTGGGGGGACACCCTGTAGTAACAGTGCGACTTCTAGTACGAAAAGCAATTAAATACTAGTTGTTTGGGTTTGTTTTCCACAAGAACAACTCCTTCTAACCAATGACTAGCAATGAGCTTGGCAACGATGCACCAGAGACCTGGGGGCTCGGAGGGCCATGCTGCCGAAGAGGAAGATCCTCCAGTTTTAGTGCATAAAGAGCTTAAAAAGCCAAAACTTAACCAAAGCTGCCATTTTTAAATCGGAGATGAATATCCACTCTGACTGTGCCCTCTGAAGCACCTGAGTGCAGTGTAGGCATCCCCACCTCTGGAGGCACCACGGGCACACACCGGGGACAGGGCTGCATTGCCCAGACCCGTCACAGGAGGCTCCTCCGACCCAGGCAGGTCTGCAGTTCCTTCCCCGCCCTGTCCCCATTTGTTGCCTTATCACTGGAATAGGGTCATAAAACCCCTACAACCCTGGCCCTAATCCTAGTATCTTGATATTGTTGCTAAGAACCAAGAGCCCAGGGAGTCAACCAAAACCAATCAAGTCGTGCATCTTAATTTGTTTTGAAATATGCTCCCTTCTGATCCTCAGCAGAGCGTACATCCCTCTGATCCTGCAGGAATCCCTATAACTTCACTGAGACAATGGTCCTAGGACTAAGCTATCCATGCTACCAGCCTACCACTCCCGGGGAAAACATTATTTCCTTACAAATAGTCACTGGAGTACTGCTGCTTAATAGCAAGCACCTAGAGTGGGATCTTAAACACATCAAGAATTCAGTACATGTTCCTTGAGTAAATTAATAAAACAATGAACCAATTGACTGATGAAAAAACTGGAGGAGTTGGTACATGTGTGTAAATCTTTGCGTAGCTGGACTAGAATGAAGTTGTTCTAAGGTGCAATCCAATAAATTATAAGCCCTGTGAAGACAGAAGTGGTATCATAATCTTTTTCTATTATGAAAAAACCGTTTCCCCCATAAAGCTAACGCTTGCCTGAATATTCAGTAACTATTTACTAATTGAATCAAATTATACAAATTACACAAGATTTCGTTTTATAGCTTTCATTACCTACACAGTAACTTTATAAAAGCAACCAAAATGAAAAGCTTATCTTAAGAAACCATGTGGCCGAAACCAGTTTGGCTCAGTGGATAGAGCATCGGCCTGTAGACTGAAAGGTCCCAGGTTCGATTCTGGTCAAGGGCATGTACCTGGGTTGCGGGCACATCCCCAGTGGGAGATGTGCAGGAGGCAGCTGGTCGATGTTTCTAACTCTCTTTCTCTCTCCCTTCCTCTCTGTAAAAAATCAATAAAATATATTTAAAAAAAAGAAAGAAAGAAAGAAACCATGTGCATGTCCTGGGGAAAATCTTCAGCTTTGCTAAGGTTATTGAGCTACTTTTAGAAATGTGATGTCTGCAGCCCCACCCCTCCTCCTCTGTCTCTCCATTTGTATGTGGCATTACCTCTGGTTTAGACTCAGAGCTAGACCAATGAGCATGTGCTGTGATGGTAGGTCTTATTCTGGGGAAAGGGGGGAATCTGTCTCCATTGATCGAAAAGGGCAAAGGGATTGCTTCACACTCCGACTGACTCCCTTTCTCATCTTGGCTATCCTTCCCTCTCATCAATGACTCGGAGCATTTATTCTCTTTATGCCATGATTCATTAGAAAGTCATTAAGAAGGGGGACTGGCAAATCTTTAGAACTGCATTCTCTACCACCATTTATAGTGTTCCAAGGGAATATCTGCCAATTTTACATAGAAAATGCTGAAGCAATTGTTGGGCGGTTTTAAGAAAATCCCCGCCCCAGAACATACTTCAACTAAAAGCATTTGGGACTTCATGATCTCAGTACCTGCTTCAAGGCCCCAAGTCAATGTGCGGTGAAGGCCTGTCTCATGGACAGACAACCTAGGGCCAGTGGTTGGCAAACTGCGGCTCTCTAGCCACATGCGGCTCTTTGGCCCCTTGAGTGTGGCCACGAAGTTTCAATCGCACTGTACGTGCGCGCCCGCATGTGGTATTTTGTGGAAGAGCCACACTCAAGGGGCCGCAGTTTGCCGACCACTGGCCTAGGCTGTCTGCTACCCCCTTGGCAATGGCTCAGCAATGGGAAAGCTGTGCATGTACCCTATTTTCTAAAATATTTTTCTAACCAAATTTGGTAGACAATACATGCCAAGATTTTCTCCTTAATAAAGGAGAGAAACAAACTTAACTGGGCCCAAAGGCTAGAAGAATCTTTTGGTACAGAGGTTACTGCCATATTAAGTGACACTTGGGGATCAGATGGGAAAGCCATTGGAGTGGAAGAGACTATTGCTATGAAAGCCCTCCCCGTGCCAGATATCAAGAGCAAAGTGAAGGCTTCCCATGCTTGCAGGGGGAGGAGCTCAGTGGGGTGCATCGTGTTCAATTATGATAGGGGGCAAATGACTGAACTCATTTTTCTCGCAGGAAAAAAAATATTAGAAACATACAGATGAACCCCCTATTATTTTAAAAAGGTACAACCACGCGTTTTAACCTTAATAAAGGGAACAGCTTGCTCATCTGTGCAGCCCATCTGTCACTGTCTCTCGGGCTTGGGTTGAGATGGCTACATACTCTTTCCACCCTTCCCGTTGCCACACGTTGTTGGCAAATGCCTCCATCACTTCAGGCGAGGAGCAGCAAAATCAGAACACACCCCTAGTGAGCAGAGAGAAACCTTTCAATCAGCCACAGTCACACAGCTTACGATTTGCATGCTAAGAAGCCAACGAGAACCGAGAGGAAGCTGTAGGTGGATGGCTTGAGAATTGACATAGAAAGTCAGAAGTGGCCACGCTCCTTTCGGGGGCCTATAATCACATACCTGTAAATTACAAACACAATCCGCAGAGCCATTTTACTCCATTTTGAATTTGGCAGTGGTGCCAAGGGATGGGGAAGCAAAATTAAAAGGGGAGGAGGATTTTCTGAGAACCAAATACATGATGATCCATCAAACTGAACCAATGGTCAGTTCAGTGACATATCTCACATTCTTGTTGAGAGAAGACAACGGGAGGCCTAAAAAGACAAGGAGTTCCTCTAACGGCAATGCTTGTTATCAGGCGACCAAGAAATCTACACAGAGATTGCTACTGTTAATGAAGCATTCTAGATGGAACAGTTTTATCTGCACTGGCCATCAAGGCAGACTCAGCCTCTGAGATGCTACTGTGAACTAATAGACAAGAAGACAGAAGCCTGTTTTTTCCAGAAGTTGAATCATTTCATGTAAGATGATCCAATTTATGGAACATCATTGTTGAATTACCAAAAGCCTTGCTGAAGTTAAACTTACTTTCCTAGCACTCAATCCAGAAATCATGAAATTGTGTACATCATTCTTCCTTTCAATGGGTCAGTGCTGAGAGAAGAATATTACCAAGGGCCACAGGAGACAAAAAGGTAATTTCCATTGATAAATTTAGCTTTTTCCCAGGCAGTCTGTTCTAAGCACAATCCTCGCTGTGGCTCCTCCTCTCCATGTTTCCTTGTCTCGGTTCCTTGTGCCTGTTCCTGCAGGAATGCTCCCTGCACACCAAGGAAGGAAGATGAGACTGCCTAAAAGGACCCCGACAAAGGGGCTTGGCACTATTTCTCACATATTCAACACTTCCACAGACACAACCACAAAAAATTACTGGAAGCCTCGCACCTTATATTCAGCCTCATACTGAAGAACTTTTATTTTTGTGGGGTTTTCTTTAAGCTAAAATGTTATTGAAAACAAAATTTTCTCCACTAGCTGCTTCAGAACAATATACTGTATTATGAAGCTCCTTACATTTTACATGTTTTTGAAACAGGACAAAGTAAATCCCCCATTTTCTTCCACGTCCGGGCTCTTCTGCATCAAGACCAGGCTGTTGGATGGAAGGAACCACGTGACAAGTGCATGAGGCGTGAGTGCGGGAAAACACAGAATGGGATGCCCGTGGGGCTGAAGGTGGCACCGACCGACCGGGCAGACGCTCTCGCTTCTGCTTCCACGGGCCCCGCCGGGCCGCCCGCGCCGGGCCAGGCCAAACCGAAACAGCAGGAAGGAGGGCTGTACAATGGGTCCCCTTGGATCATGCTACTAAAAAAAGGTGCAACGAGAAACAAGTCCCTGTGCATTCTTAGTCACAACGGTGGGCAGAAGAACCCATACGATTCCTCCCTTTGGTATTAAATAACAGTTTAGAAAAGCTTTTTAGAAACAAAGCAAATACATGGTGGGACTGGACCTGTGGGCCATCCCAGGTTAGTTGTCCACTGAAACGAGTCTCATCCTAGTCATAAATAAATAATCTCTTCCCCGGTCTGACTTCCGCGCCAGGATCGATCTCTCTTAACATCTTACTTATTTTATTACTGCTTTTGGTTTTCTGGGACTGATTGAAAGTTGCTCCGAGGAAATCTTTGGTTTTGCTTAAGTGTCCGTGACATTTAATCATGACTTTCCTTGCAGTTTAATTCCAACCAGTCAATCGGTTAATCCACTTCGATTGATTCTGGGCTCTCGGTGATTGGCTTGCACTCATTGGGCATCCGCTGGTGCCGGCTCAGCTGGGTGGCCTGTGTGAAGCTCCTCTCACACCTCTCGCACCTGGTGGAGGCAAGAGAGAAAATTGAGACCAGGGAGCGGGGCCTGCAGGGTGCTGGGCGTCCTCTCATCCTGCCTAATCAGAACAGACACTCCAAAGCGGCCTCAGATTTCCCCGGCTCAAGAGGTTTAATTGGTGGCTCCTTCCAAGGCCTGGACGCCTGTGATGGGACAAAGCCCGTCTGATGCAGAACAGAGGGATCTGTCAATAGGCGGGGGAAGGTGATTTCTCCAGAGAGCCCTGTCCTGCTGCAGCTCTGATCGCTGTCAGTTCAAATAGATAAAGAACAAAAAGAGATTTTTAGGAGTGAGCCATCAAAGAAGCAGCTTGTCTCCAGTTTTCTGCTCCATAACCCGAAAGAGAAATTGATGACAAATAAAATTTCACCTGCTGCTCATTTAAAATCGAGAATTCGACTCCCCTCAAAACAGCAGCCAAGGGGCGAGCCTCTTGGCGTTTGGAAACCAGAGGAAGGAATGTATTAGTCTGCGGTGGTGAGGCAGGGTCGTGTGGGCAGTTGCTTTTGTGCAGAAGTTTGTTCTATTTTCACAGCCCAACCAAACTCAGGATTAGCACAATGTTTGTGGTTGGGTAGGGGCTCAAAAAACCTGAAATAAACCTATGATTGTGTGGGTCAAGAAGTTCACCTCTCCCCAAAGTACAGTCATAGAATATCCTTGCGGGCCATAATGAAGGGGTGGTGTGTCTGATGAGAAACCTGGTTTCACACCTCAAGACTATTTCCTCTCCAGAACTTAACAAAAAAGATTATAATCAAGGAAACGTGGGCCTGACCTATCTCCCAGGTAACACACATTACTAACTTGATGGCTATTCAATCTCACACACACACACACACACACACACACACACACACACACACACCCCTAATGGTGGCTTCTAGTGTTTCTGTGATGATTGGTGTTACTGGCTGGTTGTCTATGATTGTACACACACACACTATGGCAGCAAGCTGGACCCAGTGACTTCCTGTCACTACCCTGCTTGCCTGGGCAGCCTGGAGCAATGGTCAGGCTCTCCTTAGGGCATAGCAGCCACCTCAGCCATCCGCTTAATATTCTCTTCAAACCTTTGAAGGAAAGATATTCAAGAGAGCTGCAGACAACAGTCTCTCTTTTCAATAACACTACCTTGGGTCCTGGGGTCCCTGAATAATTGGGAATGTGGCAGAAATCATCATGAGAAAAATCTGCATTGCCCTATGCTGTGCCCGAGTCTTGTTTTCTGGTGAGCAGTCCCCTCTTTCTCCTTCCTTTTTAGTAAAGTATACAAAACCCCCTGCCATAGGAATAATCACCTATAAAAATAGAACACGCCCATTCACCCCGGAGATTCTTGCACATTTGTGAGTGGTGGGAGGCTGGCGCTTGACTATCAGGCATGGCTTTTTCAAGATCCCTATGCCAGCTGTGTGTGGCAGGGTGAAGAAGTTGTGTTTCTTTCAGGGAATAATTTTAGCAGCCTGTTCCACTGTTAAAAACTGCACTGTGATCTTGACAAATGTATAATGTCAGCTTTAATGTATCAGACCTATCAACTCAATGAAAATAACTCAGAAGTATTGACCAGCTAATGATTTTTGGTGTATTCATTAACGTCCACGGGCAGCTCATCCCCTCTCCAGAGCTCCTGGACTGCTGATGACATGTTAGTGAATTGCTGATTGTTTATTAGAAAACTGATTAGTTCCTGGATTAGTGTGTCAAAATATACTACCTTTCACTGCTTGACAAACTTTCAAAGTATTATAGTCCTTTTTTTTATTATTTCAAACTCTAGAATCAATTTCGATGAGAGCAGAACCGTTGGAACAATTATGAGGCTTGACAATTTACCTGGCTCATACTTTTGCACTTCTAACCTTGTGTATTAGAATATAAAGTATTCAAAAGGAGGAAGTCTCATATTTCACAGAAGGCAAAAGTGTATGTGGATATGTAATATATAAACATCCAGATTGGACAAAGACATTAAGAGGAGAATTAGGCATTTCTCAAGTGTTTGCCTACATGCCCCACAGATCTTTACTTATGGAACAGTTTGTTGTAATAGTCAAGGAATTTACGAAGTCAAATCTAACCATCCCATGAGATCACTACTGAAACTTCATTGTTAGTGCCATCTGCCTACAAGTGTGAGTAAAATTACACTCAGAACCAGGCTACTAGAAATATCTATGTGATTTGGGAATTAGAAGAATACAGTTGGTATTATTGAGGAAGAGAGCTTAGATATAAAAATATTTTTAAATAATGGAAGGACTTCAGTTTTATGTATATCATTTTTAATTTAAAAAAAATTTCCTTCACAAGTTATTTTCATAGCTTCATAACACTCATCAGAAGGACAGATTCAATGTAAATACCTAGGTTCTAACAGGTCAGATGTGGACGTCAGCTGGGTTGGCATTTAACCCTGAACTACAATCCCAGACGCGTGACTGTGCATGGGTACCTCTAAGCCTGGACTTCATGCAGGGGAGCAGATAAGGAGGAGACAGAGATGCAGGTAATGATCTGGGAGCAAAGAAATGTTCTTGCACACACGGTCCTCTTCCTTGTGATGACGTCACGGCCTTGAAGGGAACCTCGCTGGAACAGTGAAGTGGAAAGGCGTCCAGATAGTTCAGCAAAGGGGAAGTCCCCAACTCTCTACCAGTGGGGGTCTCTTAACTCGACTCGATTTCCTTTTAGATTTGAGATCATTCTTTACTTACTGTGATGGTTGACTGGATTATAGGTACAGGGAGTTTAACAATTACCATCTGAAATTGACAGAGATGCAAAATAATGTCAAGTTCTGTTCCTTTCTGTGCCCCTCCAACCTGTCAAAAAATACTTCATGAACCAAACCACACTGCACAGGGGGCTTCATACCTATGATGTGCTCAGTGCATTTTTACTGATGTGCTTTTTCAATTTGCTTTGATTTTGCCTAATTCTTATTAAAGTATTAGCTGCTCTCTGGAATATCCTTTGATTTTTTATTTTTTTTTTTTACCTTCTGAGCCAAGCTGTCTTTACTTAAGGCAAAATGTAGTGATGAGTATTGCCCCTGCTTCTAACAGATGCAGGCAAGAGCCTCTCCTAGGATATGTCCTGGGCTTCCCAGGCACAGAGCCAGGCGGGAAGCAGCTCACGGGGGTCCTTCCAGGCAGAGCAATCTCCCTGAAATCCTGAAAGATTGCATTTAGTAACAGAGAAGGAGAAAGGATTTGTCATTGCAAAGAATACGTTTTAGACTGCCAACTTCCTTCTTTATTTCCTTCCTTTTTTTCAGTCAAGTGCTTGGCAATTGCTGTTAAATGAAACGATGTCTTGCTTTTGTTCCTCGTTTGCCATGACTTCCAGTCTCACAATACAAACTGGAAGCCAAGACCTGTAATATCATCCTTGGTATGCATTTTTTCCTATGTGCTCCTTTATCTTTAAAAGTCTAAGTCTACAGCAGGTTAGCTACCCGACAGACCTTGAGGGATGGAGGCTTTCCGTGGGAATTCAGCCAATCAGACTGTGAGGCAAAGCCTGGAATGTGACTGATCCCTTAGTGCCAAATCTTCTCCAGCCTTCCCTGGGTGGCAATAATCTTGATCTGCCTTCAAAAACCAAGTCGCAGCAGAAGATTTTAGAGGTTGGGAAGATGTGGCAAGTTCCATCAGGCCGGGCCCCGGGAATTCTGTGAAGGCCTCCTGGGCCCTGGGTGGATGGGACAATTGGGAGACTGAGCCATTTGGGGCATCTATCTGGAAGCTGCCCAACGTGGAGAGTTTAGGGTTGTGTATCTTTTACAAGATTCTTTTCCTTCTTTGCAACATTGTTTAAGCCAATACCCATTAGTTGAAGTAGTAAAATTAACTGTTGTGGTGAAACCCATTTTATTGACTAATCTGCAAGAAAAGTTTTTTTGAATGTTTGTTTTATAAGCTTGTAAAAGGACATCTTCATAATATTTACAAATGTCCATGGGACGGATATCCATGAGCTATGTTGGAAGATTCCCAAACTCCCTTGGGATAGTCCAATCCTGACTGATCCGTTTGTGTATGCTGAAGGACTTGGCTCTCCACTTTCTAGAAGATGTTAAAATCTTGCACTTACAAAATAAGCGTACACTCAGTTCTTCCCCCAGGAATATATATATAAGTTAAAAAATGCCTGCAGCATGTGGCTAATCTTAGTAAGAGTAGGAGCAGAAGGAACTAAACATACACACAGAATCTAATCCACCCAACTCTGGCTATTTGCTTCCCCCTCCCCCCAGATGAAAGTAGGTTATGGTCACAAAAGCATACGTTTAGAAAGGAAGAAGATAAAATTGCTAAAGCCCTTCAAAAGAGTACCCTGATGAATTAAAAGTAAGTTAAAATGGCAACTCTATTGGAAACATGACAAAAACAGGATGTTAAAGGAAAAAAATTGAGTGGAGTCAACGAGGTTACACATAAGTAACACCTTAACATTAATAGAAATCTATTTCCCATTTTGACCCTGAAACCTCTTCAATTAATTACTAAAATCTATTTACACAGCAACAAGATAAAAATCAATCTGATCCTGGCACTGTGTCCGTCTGGCTGCCCTCTGTACTATGAGGGGCCAGAAAGACTGTCAGTCCTGCGTCTCTTTTGAAAAGCTCTCTTGCTCAAAGGCTCTCGGGGAGAGGAGCCACGGTCACCTTCCACATCCAGAGCAGTGGGGAAGCCAAAGTCTGTGACCCCCGAGGGTCAGCCTGAGGGCAATGCAGAGCCCACCTTGCAGGACACAAACACCCGCAACAGGGAACTCTCGGGCTGTGCTAACCCATCTGGTCCTAAAGGAGACTTAAAAGACCTTTGGGCTAGCTCAGACCCAGAGGTCACAGCGTGGCTGGCGTCAGTGCAGGCTCCATTTGAAAACCCATTCAGTCCCCTTAGCCAGATGTCTTTATGCAGTGATCAAGACGCACCCACATAAAAAGTCGAAAGTTAAAACTATTTTTCTTATCCATGTCATAAATTAAACCACAGTGGAAAACAATGAAGGATAATGAGTGAAGGTGACTGATTCATGGGGAGTTGAGTGAAGATGACAACCTTTTAGGAGCTCCTCCTCGCTGGCAGAACAGAGGTGGCAGGATCCCGACCAGCAGGACTCTGCCATCCTGAGCTGAGCCTGACATAGACTGAGCACCAGGGCAACCACCACACTGGAGGGCCAGAGGGGAACTCATGGATAATGAGAGCCCCGAAAGGCTCCTGGGCTGATACTGAGCCAGGGGATTAGTTCTACTGCCTGAATCTTTTCCTTTTGTGCTTGGTCTTGTCCTACAGAAGGTAAATAGGCTATACATCTACGCCCTTTTTATTTGCCTTCTTAACCAGGGGAAGCCACTGTGGTAAAAAGTAAAGAGAGATGTCAGAGGATTGAACAGAAAGGAGTCCATTACACGGAGAGTAGAAAAGGCTTTGAGACCACCGACCAGTCATCCATACCACTCCACATTCCCAAGCCGTCCATATGCTGGCTGGGCTACCAGAAACGTCTCTTTCTTTTGAATGCCTTCAAAACACATCTTATAAATAAAACAAAGCAGAAACAGACTCATTGATGCACAGAACAAACATGATTGCCAGGAGGAGGAGGTTGAGGGGGCTCGTGAAAAAGGTGAAGGGATTAAGAAGTACAAATTGGTAGTTGTGTAACAGTCACTGGGATGTAAGTATAGCATAGGGAAAAGAGTAATAATATTGTCATAACTATGTATGGTGCCAGGTGAGCACTTGAAATATGAGGGTATGGAAAGAACTTTGTAAGTATATGACTGCCTAACCACTATGCTGTACATCTGAAACTAAAGCAAAATAATGTTGAGTGGAAACTGTAATTGAAAAAAGAAATTTAGGAAAAAACACTGACATCATCTCCCACAGACAAAATTGATTACTCCACCTCTACACTACTCTGAGACATTGTACACACATGGCTAATTGCATTTCACGTTTGCATCTTTCACTCTATGTGGTAAGACTTGTTCATCAATTGGGCTTCCCCATAAACCATGAGGTCTTCAAAGGCTGGAGGGCTGAGTCTCATTTACCGTTGTATCTTTTGTGCCTCGAAGGGCGCCCAGTACAAAAGAAAGTGCTCAATGAGTATTTGCCAAATGAATGAACACGGACATGAACGAACAAATGAATGAATGAATAAGTGAATGGGCCATCTTGCATGATTCAGATGTCCATTGCTTTCATGATTGTGCTATATCAAGAAACAAACTCTCTTGCTCAGCCAACACCCTTGGAATTCAGTTTCACTTCTTTCTACATTCCCTGAATCTTCAAGAACTCAAACGCGCCCTGTGTTTGGACTTTTTTCTCTCACAACATGGTAATGCTGATCCAAAAGGCACACTGAAAACTGCAAGTTGGCTGCCATAATAGAGTCAAGCCAAAAGGAGGGAAAAAATTCACCAGAATCTTACAGGGTTCAAGGTCCTCAAGAGATGTCCTAAATTGTGGCCACCTTGCTGATGGTCATGGGGCTTGCTGATGGCCGTAAGGTGCCACTCTGAAACTGAGCTCCCAGCTCCACTTCTAGAAGCACAGATCCACGGGAACTAGAAAGAATCTTAACATGACTTACTCCTACTTCCTTATTTTACTGATGAGAAAACAGTCCCAAAAAGTTGGTCTCATGTCCAAGGTTGAACTGCTTGAGTGAGGATCAATGTATAGGTTTCCTGACCTCATTTTGCAAACAACAGCCACTAAACAAGTAGGTCCTTTGACAGCCTGGACACTGACCTTCCAAATAGCCTTCTCCAGCCACTGGCTGAGCCGGGCAGCACTGATCTGCCTTGTCTGCGGCTTTCGGAAAGGCTAGGAGAAAGATGGGGTGAAAGGTTAGCCACCACTTACTTGAAGGGCTTTTCTCCAGTGTGGGTCCGGATGTGGTTGTTGAGGGTGGTGGCCCCAGCAAAGGCACGGCCACAGTAGCCGCACTTGAAAGGCCGGTCACTGGAGTGAGTGACCACGTGGTTCCTCAGTTCTGAAGGCTGGGAAAAGGACTGGGAGCAGTGGCCGCACTGGTAAGGTCTGAAACACACAAAGAGACTCTCTGGTCATTATTTTCCATGTTGGTCAGTGGACGGCAGTAACGTGAAACAAAGGCCACAACTTCTTGGTGACATTTTCTGTTTTGCATAGAACTCTGGCCACTAGTTTCCCATGGCTTGTTGCCACAGGAACAAAATTCACATAACTACTGAGACATTAATTCCCAAATGGTTATTTTTTTTCTGGTATTAATGTTACCATTTCAAGAACCCCAACTTTCTTATTTCTATCCCTTCCCCCAGGCCAATGCTAATGTGTTTGGGAGGGCAGAGAGAGTACAGGCTTGATTAGCTAGCATCTTACAAGAGAAAATACGTAATTGTCTCTGATAATTCCATGGCACTTTTAATTTTTCAAGAGGGTTTAAAACCACTTATCTACTTTAATCTTTACAGTAATCCTCTGGGACAGGGAAAGCGTCCTTATTTCTGTCGGTTCAGAAAACAGAGGATAAACTGTCCTCGAAGGAAATAAGCTCTTGATGCCAAAGTCCCTCTAGGGCAGTTGGACCTTATTCTAAGCGCCAGGTAAACATGCAGGTGCGTCAGCAAATGCATGTGTGGGTTTTTGTTTGTTTGTTTTGGGGTTTTTTGTTTTGTTTTGTTTTTTTAAATATATTTTATTGATTTTTTATAGAGAGGATGGGAGAGGGATAGAGAGTTAGAAACATTGATGAGAGAGAAACATCAATTAGCTGCCTCCTGCACACCCTCTACTGGGGGATGTGCCCACAACCAAGGTACATGCCCTTGACAGGAATCAAACCTGGGACCCTTCAGTCCGCAGGCCGATGCTCTATCCACTGAGCCAAACCAGTTAGGGCTGCATGTGTGTTTTAATAAATACTCATCTGTCTTGGGATCTGTTGATGGCACTGCCTCAATGTGGAGGTGTCTGATACACAAGATGAACGCAGGCATGCGCCCAGATTGGTTCCTTTGTAAAGTAAGTCCTGACTTCTACCTACTCTCCTCCACCGCCCCTCCACCCCCATAATATTTCTCTGTTGGGCCTTTTTCCTGAACTCTAGCTCCCCTGGTTCATGTAGTAGAAGCAGTAAGTTATCACAGTTCAGAAACGATGGGATGCCACTGTGCCTGCAGAAGGGCGACTACAATGCAAAAGCAAATGGAAGGAAGTTGTGGCAAATACGTGATAATTAGCAAGATTGCCAGAGAACATTCTTTCCAGCTCCTGAGAATCAGATCAATTTTGGGTTTTCATAAAATAGATTAAAATTCTATCTTCTCTACAGAAGTTCTTCTGCTTACTTCAGCAAAAGCTGCCGAGTGATAGAAAACCTGGGCAGTTGTCACTATCTGAAGCTATTTCATGTCATTCTTCGACAGGACTCCAATTTGTTTATCAAAATTTTTGTTAGGAAGATTAAGAATCTGTCATGAGGGATATTAACAGCACTCACGAACCCTAGTGTACGGCCTGGACTTTTCTGGCTGCATTTAGAAAGCCAACAGTGCAAGCGGACTTAATTGCTCTACCTTCAACAAACACTTAAGCTCTGATGACCAGAAACCAAAATGCAGGGCTAGGAGACAATGGTGACCGAGCATGCACAACAATTCAATTAAGTGCAAAATAAAGTGGACCCTCTCATTTGTCAAGCGAAGTGCTTAATTGTGGCTACTTGCCTCACTGAACACAAATACCATTATTTTACCAGACTTCAGCACGCTGAGCACTGATTGTAGAATTTTTTAGCTTGATTAATAGTCCAGGATTGATCAATAACTCAATACTATACAATTTTAATTACTTACACTTAGAAATCTATTTAACTGCTCTCAAACAGGTTTCAAAGAAATATGTACGAGTCCTTGATAAGGAGTTTATCAATCTTGACAAATTGCATACACATTTTATTATAATTATAAAATAACGCTTTGAAAGCCATTGAAGTTATATGTAGATGAAAATGTCCTCCTGCCAAATCTGTTCTTTGTTATAACCATTAACTTTAGAGTTTTTCAAGAAATTACTCTCTCAGGGGTGAATGTTTTAAATGTTATTGAAGATTATAAATAAAATAATACATTATTATATGCTATATCCACTGACAATTGATTTTTCTAATAGTAAAGGGACCATTAACATTTATTAGCCTCTGGTTATCTATTTTTAATAGCTATCACAATAAACAATAAGCCACTAAACAAAACCAATTAATCTTTTCTTTTCTTTTTCTAACTCTGCTGTCAAAAGTTGGGGTGATTTATTTTCTATCGTCAGAAGCCAATCCATTCTTTTTATGTCAACGGTCACAAAGATTTACAAAAATGACCACGGAGAGGCTTGGGTTGCATTCTTATATCAAGGTAATACCAATGAAAGGCAAATGGGATCCCAACACATCACCTCTACCCAGCACCAGCCTGAGAGGTGTTTGCTAGGCATCTAGTGGCCTATGTGTGGCACAGCTTTTACAACGTTGCAGAATTTAGCTTAGCTGAATGAAAAGGTCTAGAACTGGAAAAACAGGAGAGGTAAGTGCTACTTCAGCCTCTGGCCCCAATCAGCTGTGGGACTTGGAAAAGTCACTCAACTTCCCTGACTGTATTTTTTCACCTCTCACCTCTGGTAAGGGGGGTGGACTGACCTAGACGCTCTCCTGCACCCTGTCATGCTCTGCTCCTGCTCTCAGAGGTGTGCCGCCTGCGATCTGTCCATGACACAGCTCACAGGAGACGGCATCAACAACATGCTCTCCACCTGCCATCATGTGCACTAGCCAGATCCCTGTACATAGAGCTTCCCGTGTATGTGTGTGTGTGCGCGCGCGTGCCATTTAAACTTACTTGGTAAACAGGTGCAAATCAGAGCAACAAGAAAACCGAGTACCAAAATGTAGGACCAAACTTTATTGTAGTTGATCTCAAAAAATCAAGTGGCAGTCTTTCTTGTAAGGTACTGTAAGGAATTAGATTTTAGACCGTAAGGTCACGTGCACCTGTATGGAAGCTGACTTTATGTAGAATTTAGAACTAAAATGTCTGCTCCACTTGCCAGTATAAAAACAGATTGTCTCTCTCAGCCTAGAAATCTGTAGAAATTAGCCCTAAGAAAGCACAGACGTTACATAGTGAGTCAACAAGATCCCTTCTTCGCCTGGATTGTCAATATTTCCTAAAAAAAAAAAATGAATAAAGAAAACGACCCAGGATGTAATTTTAATACTGACTTCCTCCTAGGCTTTCATCTAAGGATGTAGGAAAACATTCAAGACAGAATGAAATCCTCAAGCCCAAACGCAGAGCCCAGAAAACATCCTCACGGCTGTGGAATCTCAAACCTCACAACTTCTTTGGGGACAACTGGCCACAGGAGTTGAGACCCTATAGGCAAGTTCCCATGAGCATATCCTGATGCCTCACCTCTCAATTTACCACTGGGGGTGGTTGGGGACACGAATAATTGCCGTTACTCAGCTTCTTATTCTGATGATTAACAGTCCATCAACTTTTCAAAGATCTAGCCAAAAGGTACGACTGAATATATTAAACTTTTGGACACAATCAAGTTCACCTCCGAAGTTCTGTCTCCCTTCGGTGAGTTGTACCAGAAGAAGCAGGGCAGGACCGACATCGTCAAATGCTGCGTTCAGCTTCACCCCTTCCAGAACCTCATGTCATTGAACAACTAAATGGGACTCTCCTTTCTAACGCCCTTTGATTCTTCCCAAGCCATCATACACAGACAGCACTTTACTATTCTCAAAACAAGCGCAAAGAGCGTTCCTTGCAAAGGGACATCTCACAACCACAATGAGCTTATGGCTCTCTGGCTACTGGAGACCTGAGGGGTGCAATGTTATCAGCAGTGTTGTCCAGTGATGGAAATGTTCTGTATCTACACTGTCCAATATGGGGCCACTTGCCACTTGACATGTGTTAGGGCGACTGAGAAACTAGTGTTATTTTACTTACTTTGATTAATTTTCATTCAAACAGCCTCCATTGGCTAGTTTCCACAGAGATATCAAGCTTCATGAAAAACTAGAAGGTGTCCCATACTCAAGAATGAAATAACTAGGAGACAGACAAAGCCTGGGTCCATTTCGTTAGTGTCTATGATGGCCGGTCAGATCTTCAGCAAAGGAAAGCAGGGGGACAATTCTGTACATTTCCCTGGCATTCTCCCTAACTGGCAGCTCGTCTGCCAAAGACTCCTCCACTAAAATGTGCAATTCATTTACTGTGAGTCTGTAATTGGTTTGGTGTACACACAGGAAAAGAATGAAACATTTAACAACATTAAGTGTGGTTTGGTTTAAAATATTATTAATTCTTCTTTGATTTTTCTTTCATGGCCTGAAAGCCTCCAGGACAAAAGTTGTTCAGTTGGGGCCACTTCCTCTCCTTGCCCTGTTAGTCAGACCAAGTGCAAATCCCCAAAGACTTCAAAGGGAGCCTGCTGTTGGCTGTGTGGAGTGAGAAATGACCTGAGCTCTACGTGAGGAGGAAAAGGTTGCAGGGAAGCAGCAAAAGCAGAGCCAAGGGACCTGGAAAACATGGAATGCCAGAAAGAAGATAACCTTCACACTTGGGGGGAGGCGGGCAGTGGGACACAAGAACACTGACACATTCCAAAGAAACCATTATGGTGATGGATTAGCTCCAAGCTCCTCCCACCAACAGCAACCTCGAGAGTCATCTTCCCCTCTGGTACCAACACAGCCATATACAAACAATGATACTCAAAACACAAGTGTGGGCAGCGGATGATGCATCCAGGAGGTTAAAGGCAAACTCTCCCCACGTGACACAAACAACCAAAAAAAGAGAAAAGGAAAAGGATGCAAAATGAAGATAAGCATTAAAAAGACACTTTCTGCAGAAAAAAAAAGAACATATTTATCAGCAAATAATCCGCAGTGATTGAAGGCTTCGCTTACCCCTTTCTGGAGCCCCCCCAATGGGACTGTTGAGGGTTTCTGCAGCAGAAAAACAGAAGAGAAAAGGGATTGCTAACTCCTGGTTCGAGCAAGAGTGAGTCAAGCTGCCCTGGCCTAGGTCAGAAGCTTATGTAAAACCCCAAATGTTTATGAAGTTCCTGGATGAAATCCTGGTTGGTCTAGATTCCAGCAGTTTCTTCCCTTTGAATTTGCTTAGGAGGAGAGAAAAAAAAAGCCAGTTGACTGGGAGAAAGGAAGAAAGTATTTGGGGGCTTGTTTAATATTAACAGAACAAAGTCAAGAAATAACAATTCTGTGGCTCTTCGGACCCTCATGAATGTGAATCGTTTTTCTGTGTTCAATGTAAATAACACGGTAGTAAAAATAAAAACCGGTGATGCTGGCAACCCTGTGTTTCCTTGGATCTCTTTTCTTTATATCAAGGCATAGATTTTTTTTATGGCCCCTCACATGAAAAAGCTCACAAATATAGACACACACAGTCTCTTTGATGAAGGTTGAAATGTCTTAGGTTTCATGGCTAAATACTTAGTCTGTTGAGTGAAAAATCTTTTGGACCTAAGATTCAGGGGCCTGTTTCAAATTTGGATCCATTTGAAACTCTAACCTGTTTACCTGCTGGCTTTGTCTTCTGCATCTCCCTTTCTTGCCTGTGGTTCTAGCGAGATTTTCCTATCAAAATAAAAGTGTTTGTATTTCTCAAATCAATGGGAAATGAATTCTGACTGGTAAGTTCCAAGCTTTTTCACTGTCTGTGTCTGAACTGGCATAAACTGCCAAAGATGGAAAGCCACTCGATTTATGGTCACTCCCTAAAGAAAACACGGACGTTCAGCACTTGTCATTCTCCGCGTGGATAATAGAAAAGGCTCCAAATTTTGCAACCATCATACACAAATTTGATGTTCCATCTTAGTTTTGTATATTTCTCTTATTTAGCAGCCATGGGGTTAAGAATTATGGAGAGTATCTTTTACTTCCAAATTTGCTGGTACAAAGACAACATCCCAGGTTCTGGGACTGAAAGAAACTATTCCAGTCCCATTGCTAAAGGCAAACCATGTCTCCAGGATGAGACCAGTGGGTCAGAGTGACTGGGCATCTCCTATGTTCCCTTTATCCTCAACAACCAACTCGGATGTAATGAAGTAATTCAAGCATATCATCATCATTATTTTGCCTATAAAGGGACTAATTTTTTGAATTCTTAATTTTAACTTATTTATGAGTGACGGTGACCACCTCTCATGTCACCAATAAAGCACAGGAAAGTGAGAAGCAGAACCCACAGCGTGAGTAATCAGGTCCCTCTCTGGCTAACTACATAGATAGTGAGCACCTATGATCTCACCTCATCTGGGGAGGGAAGGCGTAGCCACACCACGATTGGGCATCTGAGCCAGAGATGCCCGTCAGCGTCTAGCCCAGGACAGGAGGCTCATGCCACTTGGATGGTTGCCAGGAACTCTAAATTAGCTTGGAATGAGCACTGACCCAACAGTCTTTCAAGGAAGTGTGTTTTGTCCACGTAAGTTTCCTGATTTGTCAGGTACTCCTCTGACAGTTTATATAAATGTGTTACAAGTTATGACACCATCATCTGCTAGGACAGACGCCATAACGACTTAAACCTTAATACACACACGGTTTTCTAAGTGTGCCTGAGGCCAGTCCAAACAGTCTGTTTTGGTATCTTCCGATACACCGTGACATATTTTCATTGCTTTACGTGACATTCAGCGTGGGATTATATTATACTCAAAGTTAAGCTTGCCATCCAGAAACTTTCAACTATCATTTCATTTTCACCTTGCACGTTCAGTTATTATAACAATGAACCTGTGCAAATGACAAATCTATCCACTTGAACTCATTCAATTTAAAAGTAAGTTTATAATAACAAGATACCCCTAAACTACTGAAATGCTTTGCAAACTTTGAATGCATCTATCTTGAGGTTATATGGATACTGGCAAGGAAGGCAAACTTTTTTAAAAGAATCCTTCCTGAGAGAATGAAACATTTTCAAAACTTTTGTGCCCCCTCTGAAGCCAATAGTACTAATTTTCACCAGGTGAGGGTTGAGGCTCTCCTACTGAAGGTAAAAGGTTGTAAAGACACAGTTGCCTTACCAGGCCCTAAAGCAAATGTTTCGGCATTAATTAGCTACAGCAATGATCGATGCTAAGTAAGTGGTTTCCAGAATGGCGCAAATAAAAACACGTACACATGTAAGTGTGTCTACGGACCCTAAAATGATATTTTAGAAAAGACCCACCCCCTGTGCACCATGCCCACACCCTCCCTGCTGGCTTTCCTAGCACGTGTCTATCCTGCCGAGCTGGGGAGCGGGGAGGGAAGAGCTTGGTGTACATCATATGGCAAGGAGGCCATGTGGCTTAAGGTTAATCCAGTGGCCCAATGAAGAAAATAACTCAGGAGTCCTGCTTCCTAGTCTCTTTTTCTACTTCCAAAAATTATTTCCTGCTTTTATATTGAAAGTGATTTTTGATGCTATCCTTAGATATGTGAGGGTTAATCAAATTTCCACAGGCTGTGAAGAAGAGATAAAACACACTTTCTTCTTTTTGAATTAATTTGATTTTTGTCTTTTGCGCTCCCAGCGATCAAGGCTGTCGAATAAACCAGTTTTGATTCATAAATAATAGTTCCATTATATCTACTATGCCACTCGTCAGACTACCTGAAATTTTAATTCACTTGTTCAGCTAAATTTCATCCTCAGTTCATGGCCATAAAATTCTTTATTGACAAACTTTCAAACCAACTTTGACTCTGAGGTATCTAGTCCACATTTTTCTTCGGTGTGGATATTAGTTTATTGAATAAGTGGCATCTGTTTTCCTCCACATCACTAGCAGAGGAGGTATTTCCTTTTGACAGCTTTGCAGGATTTATGGGTTTGCATGCTCTGAAGAAAAATAGTACTAAGCAAAAAATTCCAATTCATTACCTCTTAGTACTTAATTAAGTTCCTACCCCCGGCACATTGGAGGTGAACCCTGAAACGACCGTGGCAGCAGCAGGGCGGCTGGCTGTATTATCTTTGGAAGACGGAGAGGATTGTAATTATCCTGACCTCATTTTTCCACCCATGATATTCATAACTGTTCCTATCTTGCTCCCCTTTAGACTCGGACTGTTTGGGAAGCAAGCGCAGACTCCTCTCGATACCACTGTTTATGTGGCCCTTCTACACAGCCAAGGCAAGGGTGGCCTCACAGGCCTGTGACCTGCCAGAACGCAGACGCCTCTGATCACAGGGTTTCCCCCAAGGGGTGGCTGGAGGAGGTGACTGGCACCTGTCAGGAAAGTAAGAAGGGGTTTTACTAAGCAAACATACTGCGAGCGGAAGAGTCAGGGTTACCTGTCGGGGTTCTGCGTGCACACGTGCATCTGTAACAGGATCCTCTGCGTGAACGTCTTAAAGCACTGCCCGCACTTCCAAAGATGCCAGTCACTGAACTCCGAGTGCAGCTGGCTTGTGGACGTCGGGCTCGCCAGGACGCGCTGGTTTTTCGCGTTGATTTGGTTGAATCCGGATTCAATGGACCCCGATTTATCCAGGAGAGAGAAGTTCCTGCTGCAGGGCGTCTGTGGGAACACCACAGAGCGCTGTTGGGCGGCAGGGGAGAGTTTGCTGCTCTTGCCAAAGGGCTGCAGGGCATCTTGTCGGCACATGGCTTCCATGACCGTGGCAGGGACATTTACTGGGGGAACGACAGAGTTTACAGGATCAGTTTTATCAGCCCTTAAAGTAAGCACAATCACGTGCACTTTAAAAAATTCTTATAAATCAACATTTTAAAACTTCACTTTTCTGGATTCAGAATGAACATAGTAGCAAAATTAGTAACTCATTCAGTGCTTGTTTATCATGCAACTATTACATGCTTAGGGTTGTTCGTATGTGATCTTTGTCCTCACGGGGTTCACTTATGACTTTACACATAAGGACTCCCTCCTGAGGCTCCACACTGCACCCTGGGTTTGGAGGGAGCTCAGATGGGAGGCACAGCAAGAGAGGGGAGAGAACAGCAGGGACTGGCAGAGAAGGTGGCCTTGAGCCGTGCAGGGAAGGTAGGTTCAGGCCTTACAGCAGACCCTGCCAGCAAAGGACAGGTCTTTAAGAAAAACTGGCTGGAGATGAAGGGAATAATACAAAAGGAAAGACACCTGGAGACAGAAGTCTAGCATGCTGGTGAGATGGTGAGAGACACACTGACCAAGCAGGGCCATGGGCTCTCGACACTGTGGGAATAAGGCAGGGGGCGGGGAGGCTAGACCTCAAACAACCTTTAAAGTCCAAAAAATAAAAAAATAAACAAATGACTTCAGGCCTAGAAAATAGATGCAAACTGTTTCTGAGCAGAAATAGCAAGAAAAAAAACCAGTGTTCAGGGAGGGCTTGAGTGAGGCATGATTTACAGACAGGGTGCCAAGGATAAAGTCAGAATGGAGGCAAGGGTATGAATGCTTGCAACTTGGGCTTTGGAACTACAAAGACCTAGGTTCAAATCTTGTCTCTACCTTTTATAGCTTGGTGATCTTAGGCACAGTTAATAAATCTCTCTGTGCCTTAATTTCCCCATCTGCAAAATGAAGATAGTGGTAGTAATAAAAGTACCAGCAGCACGGTTTACTGGTTGAGGTGACCTAGATTTTAACTCCACTATTTACTAGCCTTGTGACTGTGGGCAACTATGAAACACTGAAGTCCACATATAGTCCTTGGTCAAATGTAAAATGATCACCCAAAAGGCTGAGTGAGATAACGCACAGATAGCATTTAGTAAATGCCAGGGTTAATACTCATTAGATATTGAGCTCCATGAGCCCTGATTTCCTCCTCTTTACCCCCTTTTGTGAGTTTTAAATGAGATAATTAAAATACTCATCACAGGGCCTACCATCAATAATAGCCAATTCTCATTATTTATAGAAGGAAAAGGGGATAGACTGAAGGAACCTGGCCCTAAACTGGGATGGTGGCAGTGAGAGTGAGGAAAGAACTAGAAGCAACATTTTGGAGGGGGGAAACGTAATATACTGGAAATTTGTTTTTCTTCTTATAAGTTGTTATTGTGTTAAAAATATATATCATGTATTCACTGGTCAACCCACAGATTCAGAAGTGATTAGAAACTAATATGCTTAAAAACTATTATTCTTTTTCTAAGTACCTACTGTGTCAATAAATGCATTTATTAGTTATTTCAGGGGTCACAAAGATTAAAGACTAGAAAGTGATCAAGAGAAGGAAATTAGAGATCAAAAAATTTGAAAAGGTTGTTTGGCAAAAAGATTGGGGATGGGAAGTAAACCGTGGCTGTTGGCCATAGTTCAAGGCCATGTGGAAGGAGACACATGAACTGGGGGCTCTTATCCTTTCCAGCCACAGAGCACTGCTGAGGTCGCCACAGAGCATGAAGACTTGAGCACGCTCGACTATGCGGAGGAGCATGCTGAAGGGGCTCCGTGCTGGAGTGGACAGACAGGGAGACACCATGTGTTGGTGTGCTGGCACTGAGCATTCTTTAACTCAGAGCATTCTGTGTAATCCTATGTAATGGGACAAATCCAACAGAAGGAATAGCTCTGCTCACATGTCCATCCCACCCTGAGAAGGAAAAGGAAAGCAAGAGACTCGCAGGCCTGGAGAGAGCAGAGAGCTTTCCTAGGTGACAGTTCTTGACCCTGACTGCACCTGAGACTCACAGGGGAGACTTTTTAAAAATTAGATCAGAATCACTTGGTAGATTCTGGGCACCTGCATTTCTAATGTGTAATTGGGCTGAGAACCAGTGATCGAATTCTACTCTCTCTTATTACAAAATAAAAACAGCTCAAGTCCAAGAAGGGCCAATAACTTGCCCAGGGTCACACATTCAGTTATTGGCACAGCAGAGCTGGAAGCTTTAGCTTTTTGACTTCCAGATAATTTTTTTGCTGACCACACTCCTACACTGTCTCTGCTCACAAGCTGTGCTTCAAAAATAAAAAGGACATTTTATAGCCAGTACATCTCACATGAACATGTCATATATACATATAAATACATATACAGTGGGGCCTTGACTTACGAGTGTCCCGACTAATGAGTTTTTCGAGATATGAGCCGTCTCTCAGCCGATTTTTTGCTTTGAGTTGCAAGCTAAAATTCGGGTTACGAGCCAGCTTCAGATACCCCACCACTAGTTGGCGCAGCGAACGTCACAGTGAACGCCACAATATCAGCCCAGCATCACATGTCTCACTCGTTCACTTTAATGATTTGACATATGAGTAATTTGAGTTACGAGCTCCGTCACAGAATGAATTAAACTCGTAAGTCAAGGCCCCACTGTATACCTATACACACATACATACATACAGGTTTATGTATGTATGTGTTTTTATATATAAATATTTATATACAATTTCAACTTCTGGGGCAAAAGTGTATGATCAATATAACAGTTATCCATACATTTTAGACTTTTAAAAAATCTTTGATTGCACACAGACTGTTTTTTTAAAAAAGGTATTGAAAAATGAGGAGCAATATTTTCTCCTACTTTGGCACTTTTTAAATAAAAGAGTAAAAGCAGCAGCATTGTCAGAGATGGGGGTAGAACTCATCTTGTGTCGCCCATTCATAACTAATCTGGGAGAGACACAGCACAGAGAAACCCACAAGTGTTCAGACAACACTGAGCTCCGGCGGGCTGGGAAATGCCCACTAACAGGAAGGAAGGCACGGTGGGAAGGCGGTGGGATGAACATGTCATCAACATGCATGCGAGCAGGAAACCGGCCAGAGCTTCACTGTTGGGAAGAAGGCTGTGATGCCTTCGGGGGGAAATAATTCAAATAACACTCTAAGTATAGGTTATAAATCCTGACTTCTCATTTACCCTCCTGAAAAGCAACCTAATAAATTAATTTTCAAAAACTGCTACGGTCACACAACCTTTATATTAAACTAAAGAATTTGTGGGCCAATGAAGTTTTATTAAGCTTAATGATCAATGTCAAAATGGTAATAAAGGAAAACTTCAACCAGTTTTTATAATAATCTCAGATTTATGAGATCTGTGTTAATGTTAGTAATAGTAGTACTTAGGCAGAGTGGGAATGGGTGTAATGAAATTCTTGTCTTACTTTTTCTTTTCTGGGACACCCCAAAACAAATGTAATATTTTTTTGAGATATAGGTAGCAATGCTTGCACCCCAGAGATCAACAAAGTATCCTTTCTTCAGGACCTAAAGGACACAGAGATTATTCTTTCCAAATACCAGTCTGATTGGCTATAGCAATCGAGAGCATTAACAAAACGCAGGGAATTATCAGGAAAAAAATAGGGAATGAATTCAGAAAACACTCATCCCAACACAAGACGGTACAGACAACTGCAAAAGGCCCAGAGATGACTGACTGAAGGGACCAAGAGGATGAAGTACTTTCTACTTGAAGACAAATGGCTAGAAACATCTCTTCAGTCTACAAACCAAAGATGAGTGGGAGGACGGCCAGCTCTTAGAGCCCTAAAGGATAGAGTACAGTAAGGACACAGAACATAAACTCATCACATCCTGGAAAATTAAAACGTTGAGAGGCAAATTCAGGATCCATAAAACAAAGTCCTGCTTTCCTCCCTTGTCCATTCATTCAATCCACAAGTAGTTACTGAGCATCTCTATCCCATGCCTGACACTGTAGATACGGGGAACGAGAGAGCCACGGCCCCTGGCCTCCCACCACTTAAACTCCAGAGAGAGAGACAGCCAGTAAACAGATGTTGTTACAAATAACATCAAATCTAAAATTCCACTAATGGCAAGTTGTAAGTGATTCATTGTAAGTCACCGTTCACTGTAAGACATCTTCCAGGTTCAGAAAGAGTAAATGTGACAAATATATAAATTTTAGAATTAACAATATAACAGCCGATACAAGTTTGATCAGCTCTATGAGAGAGAAGAAAGGGATGAATCCATGTGGGTGTGAGGGGTGGCGTCCCTAAAGCATTGACCTTGAAGGTGAGTCGTGAAGGATACGCAGATCAGACAGGTGTGAAAAGAGGAAAAAGCAATGCAAGGAGATGAAACACCGGCAGCTTTGCCAGAGAGTCCGTGTGTCGTGCTGAGGTGAGAAGGTGCTCAGCAGCACTGAAAACCAAAAGGCTAATGTGGCCAGAGAAAGAGGGGAGGGGGCGGCAGCTGGGGCTGGAGAGGAAGGCAGTGCAATCGCCAGTGCCTGTGGGGGCTGGGCAGGTAACAGAAGGAAGTGATGGGAGGCAAATCGATTCAATGGAGGATGTTGGGGTCTGCAGCAAACTGAATAGGGCAGAGCCAGCCTAATGATGCTTGACTCTAATTTTGTAAAACATTGTGAGCCATGCAAAATATTTCTGAAGACTATGTGTGGCCCAAAGGCTATCATACTCAAGATTTATTATGAGAGTAATGACAAGCCAAAAAAAGAATGTAAAGCTAGGGGATGGTGTGAGGTGATCAGATTAATATATTAAACGCATCATCACTCTATATTGTTAACTGAAAAAGTGAGGTGCAAAGCAATGTATATAGTATGTTACTATTTGTATAAAGAGGGGCAGGAGGCAGAGGGAGAGCCAGAGATAGAATAGGAGAATATGCTTGATGTTTGAATGGGGAAAAAAATATGTTTGGAAAGACACCTGAGAATCTGTCAATTGATAACCTCTG